TCCACCAAAATCTCCGAGGGAGTATGTTCCACTGTCGAACAGTCCTTACTGTCAGGAAGTTCCTCCTAATGTTAAGGTGGAATCTCTTTTCCTCTAGTTTGCATCCATTGAGGCTCCATTGTGTCCTATTCTCTGGAGCAGCAGAAAACAAGCTTCCTCTATCCTCAGTGTGACATCCCTTCAAATGCTTAAACAGAGCTGTCATTTCCCTTCCTAACCATCTCTTCTTCAGGCTAAACATCCCCAGTTCCCTAAGTTGTTCCTCATAGTGCTTCATGGTTTCCAGACCCTTCACCATTTTGGTCGCCCTCCTCTGGACACGCTCCAGTTTTTCAACATCCTTTTTGAATTGTGGTGCTCAGAATTGGACACAGTCTTCCAGATGAGGCCTGATTAACTCCTGACTGTAAATTAGTGCATGCCGGAACATTTTGTTGATGCAAAACAACAGCTCCCAAACTTCCATGCACTCCTGTGTGACATCTCTGGTCTCCTGGATCTCTAGTCTTCAGTATATACTTTAGACTAACCTTTCCAGCACCTCATTGCTCTCTGAACTCGCTTCTCTTTTGGACTTTGTTCAGATGAGCTTGGACCGTCTGGAGAACGCTTCAGCTCATGACCCTGTGTAAGCCCTGGGACTGGCCTGGTTCTCCCTTGCCGGTTTCTGGAGATGGTAGGTATGCTCACCTGGACGCTCACAAGCTTTAAATAGAACAGTCCCTCCACCTGGATTGTTTATCCTTCCAGCTGGCTTGTTCCATTCAGCCTGAGTTTATCAGCCTTTCGACTTCTGGACTGTTTTGACCCATGACAGCTCCATGCCTCACTGAGTTATTTATGATATCAGCCATGGAGAGTTGATGGTCAATCTACGAAGACAACCAGACTGTGTGACCTCAGCAATTCCCAAGTGCCTGTGAAATCATAGAGGCATTAAGAACATGGAGTTTAATACTCCTTCCATACAGTTGTGTGCCTTCTCCCTCCTCTGCATGTGTCCCTTTTTGGGATGGTCTGGGAGGAAAGTGGGTATCTTCCATCCCTTTCCATCTCACCCCAAATCTATCACCTGAGTTGTCAAGTCTGGGGGGGGGGGTCAACTGCTGCTGCTGCTGCTGTTTACTTGTGAGGTGGTGAAGAATAATAAAAATGGGAAGAGACCCCAAGAGTCATCCAATCTAATCCCTTTCTGCCATTCAGGAAGACACAATCAAAACCCTCCCTGTGACAGATGGCCTTGTTTAAAAACAGCCTCCAAAGAAGGAGAGCCCACCACCCTCCGTTGTGGCAAACTATTCCACTATTGAACGGATCTTATTGTCAAGAAGTTCTTCTTCATTTTTAGGTGGACTTGCTCATGATTTGAAGCTGTTTCTTCTTTGACTCCTCTTTTAACTGAGAGGGATACCAGGGCAATTTATTGTAATACTAGTCCCACCATCATCACACAGCTGATCTTTCAAAGAAGATTGCTCCCTGGAACGGCCAACACATTGATGGTCCAGTGTGCTTGAGCGATCTGAGTCTTAAACTGGGACACTGGGAGACCAGAGTGTCAGCATATCCCTTGTAAAAGGAAGACAATGTACTTGCGTGAGAACCAGTATGATGCAATGGTTTGAGTGTTGGAATATGACTCTGATGTTGCTGTTGTGTTGTTGTGTGCCTTCAATTTTTTTCCAGCTTATGGCAACCCTAAGGCAAACCTATCATAAGTTTTCTTGGCAAGATTTGTTCAGAGGAGGTTTGCCATGACCTTCCCTTCAGGCTGAGAGCATCTGACTTGGCTCTGTAGACCAGGGTTCAAATCTCTGCATGGCCATGGAAACCCACTGGGTGACCTTGGGCCAGTCACACTCTCTCAGCTTTAGGGGAAATCATGGTGGCAAATCCCCTCTGAATAAGTTTACCCAAGAAAACCCCGTGATCGATTCACTTTAGGGTCACCAGAAGTCAGAAATGACTTGAAGCCATACAACAACAGCAACCAGTCGGCAACCAGAAAAAACCTTCTCATCCCAATTCACTTTTCCTCTCTTTGTCATCTCCATCACTGCCCTGGTGTCTCTGTTTTCATGCTTGCCCTTCTCTCTCTTTTCATAGTAAAAGGAGAGAGAGAGAGAGAGAAACTCTTCCTTTTGCACATTTTTTTCGTTTGCTGAACCAATATAGACTTAACATTAACTTTGCTTCTTCAAAGAGCTGGGGGAGGAAAAGAAGAAGAAGAAACTTCTACATCTCTCAGAGTAATTCCAGCCGCTCCTGACTTCTCATCTTCTGACTTCAAAACACTCAGCTGCTCTATTTCCAACTAGTGCCTCCTGCAAGATTAAGTTGCTGGTGCTTTCCCTTTCCACAGAGGTCTCACATCAAATCATGTTGCAGGACTGAAGTATTATCAGTTTGAGGAGGAAAA